ATTACTTATATTTTGTGTAATGTGATAAACGATGTGACTATCAAGTGCATTAGTACACCTTATTCTATAGATGAACCTATATTACAATAGCTGTTATTAATAATTAAGTTAAAATACCTGTAATGGCAGTTGCACTAGCATAACTAGCAAGTTATAAGACATCTGTATAAGTATAACATTGTACAGAAGAATATAAATTAACAATTAGTAGTACAAACACTAGATAAGTCCTTGTAACTATATAAATCTGTTGGAATTAGGTAACAAGAAGTCTATTTGAAAAGATCTAAGTAAAAAGGTAGTCAGATCTTTAATGGTTCTACTGTAAATACTAGCCTTATAAACCAGATACTAAGATTATAGTATTCAAACAAGCAATAATCTTCAAGTTAGAAGTCTTAAAGATATCATCAACCAGACTGTCAAAATAAACTGAAAAAAAGAATATTAAGCTAACCTAATATACTAATAAATTAGTTATAGTCCTACATAAGCTATCTAAATTAGAAATCTGATAAAAAAGTAAAAGTATACTAAAGTATTTCAGATATGCTATAAATTAGCTGCTAAGGTCTGTGTAAACTTTATAAAGATGATACAGAAGACTCCAAAAGGTTTACAATAAGGATAAAATAGTTCTAGAGTTAAGACAATAATCTGAGTATCTGGGTATAACTTAGTAATAATAACACAGATTGCAGGTTTAGAGAGGTTAAAGTGAAACATTCAAGCAGGAGTGTTAAATATAACAATTGGTAGAGAACTTTTAAGCAGACTCCTTAAATATATAATATAAAAAGGTATACATTTAGCCAATTGTATACTTTTTTGTAGTGGTTTATAAAATCACATTACCAAACAAATCATTAATAAAAATCAAAAGATTAAAAAGATTACCTTAATATCAAAAAAAAAATATATAATATTTTATTTATTAATAAATTATAATTAACTATATATACAGTTTTTTAGTAATTGTCTATTTAAAGATTCTGCTTACAAATTATTTGCTAATTGATATACCTAAAACACATCTATAGGTTTCTTGCTTAAAATTTCTAATTTTTAATATTTTTTTGTAATACTAAAACAAACTTAATTTTTGACTATCAAAACTTAGAACTAATTTAATCTTAAAGTAAAGTTTACTAAAATAAAAGTAGATTTTATACTACACCTATTTTTTATAATAGAAAATTTCTATATTAGATAAAACTAATTCTTTCTACAAACATTAATAACATTTTTATATTTTTTACTATAGTAATGTCTGTGCTTTGCTGTATCAGTTTTCTTTTAAAAATTTCTTAAATCTAATATGTACTTTTATTTGAACCTCTATAAGACTTCAAGTTTGATTAAAATTACAATTTTTTAATTATAGAGTATTTATCTTTAGTCAAACTTGAATCATTAACCTTATCTGTAAAAGAATAAAAGCTTAACAACTAAACTATAAAACCCAAACCCTTCAAATCATTTTATATAAAACAACAATTTAATTCTTATTAAAGCCTGTATTTTATAAAAATATGATGTTAATTTAAGAAATTGTTAAATAATCAAGCTTAAAATTTCTTCATATTACTAATATCACAATATTGATTAATATCATCTTAACCTAGTCAAGCTGTATCTTGATTAAAAACATATTATACACTAAGTGAAAAAAATATAGTAAAAGATAAAGTAGTGAGTATTACAATGATATAATAATGTTCAAAAACCACTATCATCAGAACGCAAAGTTATTTTGCCACTAACTGCAAAATTTTTCCAAATTTGACCTTAATATTTTATTATTAATAGATTTATTAATTTGTCCGAAGCGAAGCAGAGACACTAAATTATCCAGCATGAGATACAAAAGTTACGTTTTTGATGCATTTGGCTCAAAAATATACCTTCTTGATGCACCAACATAAAATTATAAAATTTACATCAGAAACGCTATTTGGAAATTTTGTGTCCGCACGCGTGTCTATATTTGTATTTTAATGTAACACTAACATGCTTATTTCGCGTTTGTGTAGATGCTGATCATCATGTGTTAGGCTTCGGACACACAATGCTGCGCATTATCTAGTAATAGATGACGAATCCATATTTACTCCCTAATAGTTTAACACGTAAGTGAAGAAATACTTAATATTTTGGGTGTTTTTTAGAATAGGTGGGTATATGATAGTTTTTGTCCTAAATGATCAGGAATTCCATGGACAAGAAAATGGGTTTGCAAATCAACACTATTCTAACGAACCGATAATTTAACATAAGTAAACAAATAAATTTAAATAACTAGTTATTATTAATATAGTAGAAAGACCAGAAAAGAATTAATTTTTGAATAATTCTAATTATGATAGCACGATTATTAAAGTTTTAAGAAAAATTTCTCCTACGAAATTATTCCTTAAATACAATTTCTGAAAAATTTAACTATTGACTTGCACTGAATAAAACCTTTTCAACATTATCATGCCTTTTTACCAATCTAATTTGATAATCTTCAGGCCAAACAGTAATAGAAAAATGTGATTTGTCTAAATTAATTGGTATTGGCTTACCATCCTTATCTAATGGTGACGCATTTTCTATTCTAAAGCACCAAAGAAGACGAGAGACTCCTAACAGAAGTTCTCTCTCGGCCTAGTTTTTTTAAAGTTCATATAAAAATAAATAATTTTTATAAATATTTTAGGGCAAGATTTATATAAATAATTTAGATCAATCTATCTATAAAGTCATTATTTCAAAATATTATACATGCCATATGAATTCCAGTGCAAAGCCTTCTTCCTGCTCCAAACCCGAAGTGATCTCTATTTTCATAATTTCCATTTGCTGAGGATGCACTACTTTCCTTGAACCCTAAAAATCTTTCAGGTTTAAACTCTTTTGGATTTTCATATCTTTTCTCGTCTGTATGAATTCCATATTGATTTAAAATCACAACAGAATTTGCCGGAATATGATATCCATTATATTCATCATCCTCTTCAATGGCATGAGGTAAACCAAGATAAATTGGTGCACAATATCTTTGGCCTTCTTTAATTATGGCACGTATGTAAGGAATATTTGGTTCATCAGAAATTTCTGGTAGACGTGATTGACCGACTACTTGATCAAGTTCTTGATGAGCTTTAGATTGAACTTGAGGATTATTAGCTAAAGCAGCAGTAAGCCATGTTAAACTTGCTGCAATTGTGTCCTAAAAATTTAAACATCAATAAATTATAAAGTCAATGCAAGAAAGAAGCAAAAACTTTTTATAATATTTACAGTTCCAGCAGCAAACATCGCGTCTAATAGATAAATAATATCCAACTCTTCAAGGATTCCTTCATCCTTCTTATGGAGTAAATTTCTAATAACACATGGCTTACTTTCCTTGTCATCCACAACTTCCTTAATCAATTTTCTAAGTAAAGCTTCAATGTTATCTCTATTCTCTATTGTATTATTATATAAATTATTTGGAAACCACTTCAATATTGGAAAAAAGTCAGGTAATCTATTTGCTACTTTAAATATTTCTAAATGTTTTCTCATTAAATCTTCAAATTCTGCATAAAATGAATCGTCGACACTTTCTGTACGCTTATTTAAACATATGAGGGTTATAATATTTAAAGTAGTAAGTAAAAAATAATCTTTGGGATAAAAACCATCTTTTGATTGGGTTGAAACTTTATAAAAGGTTTTCATAAGAATACAAAATTCATTATCGAATAATTTAGAGTTTTCTTTTACACTACGTTGGTCCAGAATTTCATGCACTATTTTTTAAACCAGTAGAATTTCAAGTTATAAAAAAAAAAAAAATTGCAAAAAAAACAAATTAATACGTTCAATTACTTACTAATAGGTTTAAGCATTCTATACCTTTCATTATAAGGACTACCGATATAACTCTTTCCTCGGGTCAATACTTGAAAAGCATAATAACTTGGCAAGCGGGTTGAATATGTTTTACCACCTATTATTAAAAAAATCTTTTTCTTCAATTGCTATCTAAAGTATTGACATAAATAGTTGTTAAGTTAATATAAAAATTTAAATTAACTTACGTTTTTGTAAAAGGTCTGCAACCACCTTATCACTGGTCAATATAATCCAATTTTGTTGGCCCATGTGTACGGTATAAATATCGCCCAAACTTCTCGCCCATTTGGTAAATCTATTTTTAAATTAATGTTAATAATTATGTTATTCAATTAATTCTTATTAATATATTTTTCTCTTACTTCTTATGTGGCTCATGTCCAATTTGAAAAAAATGACCTACAAGTTAAATATATAATAAAATGATAAATATATTATTTTTTTTATAATAAACACATTTAGGTTTACGTAAGTATCTAAACACTTTTTTTTTACTTATCGCAAATATTTTTGCATTATTTTTAGGTATTCAACATAAAAAATTTTTTTTTCATTGAATTTTAAGTCATATTAAACTATAATTTGGCTTTATAAACCTATGGTGTTTGTGCCTTGAAAATTATGTTATGGACATATAATTTACTATGTCTCATAACTTAAGTTCAAGGCAAAGACCACACCTATAAGGTATTACATGTTGAACGGTCGCTTTCATATAAAAACTTAAAAAATTATTAAGGCATACAATTGGTGTAATTGATGACTGAATCTTACGAAATTCTAAATAAAGCATTAAAAATTCTAGCCTTTGATTATTTTATACTAACCAAAATAAAATATGCTACCCGGCGGAGAAGGAAGTTTTTTAAGACTGTGCGGAGTATTTGACCTGAAGATATAATAACACGCAAGACATGCTAGCAAGAAATAAAACAGAAACATTTTTTTTGTTTTAAGACGAGAAATTTGTAATTTGGTCTCGAGTGTTGGAAATCTTTATAAAAAAAATTTGTCTTATAAAAAGTTCCACTTCAATTACTAAATATACAAATTAATAATATACCTATATATAAAAAAAGAATCGTACGTATAATATTTTTCTTAGACATGTAAAAAATGCCTAAAAAAGTACCATTCTGTCTAAATTCTGACTAATTTTGATACTTCAAATAAAAATATAATTAGACAAGAATTGGACAGAATGGCACTTTATTAGACATTTTATACACGTCTAACACAAATATTATACAATTCTTTTTTATAATGTAATAAACTTATTTTGCCAACACTCGTTAACCTTAAGCAAGAATACACTCGATTATACTTCAAAAAAAGGACACGTTTATTGTTACACTCAATCCTCCCAGCACAACCACCAATATCGTATGTAACATAGTGATGGCAAAAAAAATTCGCGATCAGGTGATTGTGACCCAATCAACGATCAATAACTTAATATAAATGATCACCCTGATCGCAATTTTTTCTGCCACCACTATGTTATCTAAAAAGCACACTAATTGAGTGCTACAAAGGAAAACCCTGTAATTGTGAGTTTTCCGAAATCAATTTTATAGAAATGGACTTATCACACATGATTCGTTAAATAGTATTTATTATAGAATTTATTATAATCCATCAGGAATCTGATCACTGTTTCTGAAAAGCGGAGCCGGCAAAAACCAAAATTACAGTTTTTCGCTTTGAAGCACTTAATTGAAGTCTGATAATTATAATTACATATGGGCTAATTTGGGACATGCATATAGTTTACAAAAAAAATTTTGATGGTAGGTCAGATTGTTTGACATTGTACTGCTGCATTGTTATGCTTGGTACATACGTGCATAAGAATAATACCAGACACTATTAGCTATATCAAATAGAATGACTTTAATGTGTTTTGGTTGAGACTAATGGGTTTGACACATTATCTTGCATAATCTATTATATCTATAGATGTGCCATTTATATGATATCTGATTTTTTTTCGCGTACAGTACGTATAGTTGTATAGTGTGTATAGCATACGTAATACGCATAATCGATGTAGCATTTATAAATCAGTTATATGCAACATTGTGCAAGGAATAATTTTTGTTAGAATGCGAAAGACAGTTTCATAGTCAAAATTTTGAGATAGGGATACTTTAATGATTTGTTCTAGAATATTCTAAAAAATTTTTTGCGTACTGTACGCGGCACATCACTAATTTTGACCTTCCATATACTAAATAAAAAGACAATTAAAAAACGATATATATAGTACTGGGGCTAGGGTCCCAAACCGGATTGAAAATCTTTATTTATAACCATCGGGCCAAACACTTTCATCAACTGGGTACCCGAAATTAAAACCGGTCACTCGATTAAAACGGTTATCCGGTTATCTGGTTTTATCATACCCGAAAAATTTGGTACTAAAAGACAATTAGACGAACCATCATTATGAAATTCAGCATGAATATATCCTGCGTTATGAAATTTACACAATTAAAATATCATGAAGTATTTTGATTTAGTCTTTCAGTTAAGTTCTCAAAATTTTGTTCCTAGTTGCACGTATCTCATAAAAACCAATTATTACCCGAGTAAAGCATTGATTGTGACAAATTACAGTTGTTTTCATAAATTCTGGGATAGTTGAAAAATTTTTGATGGCCGAATTAATAAGTTACCAAAATGAAGACTTGTCTATTCATTCATTGCCAATTTTTCAGATGTTCCAGAATTTATGAAAACAGCTGTAAAACTCTAGCCCATAACAACTTCGGATCACCAGACTAGTAAAAGGTTTCGTGACAACCGATTTGCTAAAAGTCTGACCCGGTTGCCAAAAATTTCGAGTCGGGTGGTCGTATACACTGTTTGGATCCCTAACTGAGCTTTGTAGTAAAAAGAGTCAGAAAACTATAATTAAGTTTATTGTGTTCAGACTTATTTACCTTTGAAGGTAATACTCAATTGAAGTACGTAAATTTTGTCAACTACAATTTAAGTGGTTTTAAAAAATTTGTATTTCACAAAAAATATAAAATTTTACCGATCTAAACCATTTTTAATTTATTACTAGAATGAAGTGGTTTTGTTTCACTCATCCATGTTCTTGGAAGATGTATTACTTTTTTTAGGTTTTTACATTATTATCAAAATTTTTGAACTGGTATAAAATTTATTTTAATATCATTTTTTTGTTGTAAAAACATTTTAGGCTTTTAACATGCTCTATTGTCTAAATGTAAATCTATTAACTTGGCAGTTTCAAATTTAATCATATTCGTTCCAAAGGTTTACCATTGCACTTATCGAACGGATCGACCTGAATGACTCAAAACTGGCACATTATAATATACTTCATTATCATATATGTCATGACCAATATAATAAATACATTACAATCAGATCAGAATTGGATTATTCGGGCCGAGCGTTCGCAACACTGGTAACCATTTTAGTGTCTCTTTTTCAGAAACGGAGTGATATGTAAATATCACAAAGTATATAGTTATATGGCAATTTAATGGATTTATTCCACAAAATTTTGCAAGTAATTGGATGTTATATTGCATTGTGTAAGGGTGAGATAACATAATGGTTGTAGAAAAAATTCGCGATCTGGCGATTTCTAATCTCTCTGAACCTATCAACGTATACAATTAGGTATATTACTATATTATTATTTATCGTTATTGATCGTTGATTGGTCATAATCACCCGATTGCGAATTTTTTTCTGCCACTACTAAAAACGCTCTCATGCATCTTCCTCAATGTGATCAGCTAGTAAACGATACCGTGCACAAGCGCCATAATTAATTGAAATCATTATTTGCTGAAGGTTCATAGTGTGAAATGCGGATCTCAAATTTTAGCCAATAAACGCAACCATATGATGAAAAAGATGGTCTAGACCATTTCTTTTTATTGTTTATTTGATTGTCCAAGTTCCGCTAATTAAAAATTGTGTTTGAGAGCACACTAAGTTTAGTTTTGATGTTACAGTTTTCTTATTCGCGCGAGTAACACAAACCAAAAAAGGAAATTGCGTTTACTAATTTCTCCCAAGTTTCGTTTTCGACCAATCAGAGAGCAAGATCTGGTGTCAAAACAACAATCTCTCTTTTTTGTAAAGTCACATTTATCTCAAAAATTCGACTAAGAAATCACCTTTGGTGCACTAACGAAAAATTCATTGCAAATTTTAGTATAATGCCGCTAATAACACGCCAAGCCCTAACTGAGATGTCACATTTTAAACGAAGGTGACATGTAAATTAGCGCGAATAATCACAACCAGTAGAAACTCGGGGAGAAATTAGTAAATGATTGTTGATTAATGCATTAAGATCGATCTAAACACTAGATTTTGAGTATTTTAGGTATTTTAGCTTTTACTTTCGCACTTTATGTAGGGCTGATCCGGAATAGTCAAATTTTGTACACGCCGATTGGGCATTTCCTTTTTAGGGGTTGTAAGGATTTATGTCTAAATTTAGTGATCAATATGATTTTTTGATCAACATGTGCGAATGACTGGTTCTTTTCTTAATTATCAATGCTGCCAAGAGAAAATCCGTAAATTACATTAAATAAAACTCGCAGGTTTCTTTTTGGCGGCACTCATATCCACGCATTTTCTGTTTTTTTTTATCTGTAACTTTTTTCTTTATTATGAAACTCATATCCGATATTTACCTGTCACCCGGAGATATTCGTTTCTGGAAAAAAATCACATGAAAAAAACAATTTTTATCGATTTCAGACTTCACGTATTGTAAAATTAAAAATTAATTTTTAACTTTATTATATTACGATGAATAAAAAGATTTGTTATTTATCATTTGAATGTTACTATTTTCATATGAACCAGTAAACTTTATAACAAAACTAGCGTTTGGCATGTCTTAGCATCCATATATTATTAAAACAGATTATTCTTGGTCATTTTATCGAAAGTTCATTTTCATTTAGTCGACCACACAGGGTAGGGCTAACATTCGATTATTAGTAAATATACATGCAGTGAGATTTTACAGGGGGATTACCAAATTCCGGGTCGGATCCATCAGAGTGCATCTATTGACACGGGCGAAACGTGGAGTCAGTCGCTTCTCGATCTGATACGTCGTGTAACCTACGAACGACTTAGTCGATAAGAGTTGGTTATATTTGGCGAGCGGGATTATTTATGATCGTAGGTATTATAGAGGAAGCATGGTTTTATTATTGAGGACAGAATTTTATGTGGGT